CCGTCAGTCAGAAAGAAATTCAGCCAGCCTCAAAGAGGGTCCGTCAGTTAGGAAGAGATTCAGGTATTCATGAAAATATCTATGGACAACACTACCATGGAAGCCGCTAACACTGTTCATCTATGTTACTTGTATCAGATGTATCATCACTGAACGCAGAAAACGATACATCTATGTATCATCTAAATAAATTGGAGATAGCATAGGATTGCAAGGGTGACGCTCAGAGCTACAACTGGATACGCTCGCTGTATCGTCCTCGTAGGTGCTGTATCACTTGCATCTGACCTTTGTGTTAGGTCCTTATTGCGCCTTGCTTCACCAATATTATGACCCTTATGTTCTAGCAACAATAAGGTTTGAATTTCACAGACAGAGCATTATCTTTCTTCTCTCACTAGCGGTCCTAAGAGTTCATTTAGTACACAACCAACTAGTACACAACCAACTAGTATTTAGAACTGGTACCGAAAAATAAAAAATAAAAGTTTTCTCGGTTGGCGCAGTTTCCTGCCGACCAAGAATACTCGGTTGGCGCAGTTAAGTGGTTAAAAATGTTTGTACAGTGTATTGGAAACCATGCATGTATATACCCCTAATTATACTTTAGGAGTTAAGGGTTATGCAAGTTATTAAAGATTTATTTTAAATATGTGTTTTTCACAATCTTTAGGAGCATCCCTTGGCAACCTGTCAGAAGGCCGCATAGCAATCATAGGATTTGGGGTTGTACATTTGAAGAAAGCCCTTACCATTGCTGTCCGCTACTCTGCTGTTCGTAAGCAGTTTGGTCCAGGAGAAGAGGAGCTTCCTGTTATTGAATATCCACTGCAGGTACTTGTGCTAATGTTGCACTTGCATTATTTTATTTTTATAACTGTTATTTCATTGTTAAAATAAAATATATCTTAGGAAGTGAAAAATTTTAAAATAAATTTTTAAGGTCACTTGGTTGTATTAAAATTTCTGAAACTGGTGTTATTGTATATAAATCATTTACTGTATTAATCTTATAATAGGAAATGTAGCCAAAAAGTGCTATATAATTTATGAATGTTCTTATTTTTTTCCTCAGCAATGGAGATTATTCCCATTTATAGCAGCAACGTACGCACTGGATAACTTCAATAAAACTTTCCATGAGATGTTTGTAAAGTTTCGTATGGAGATGATTGATGCTGCTAACAAAGGCAGAGTTGTAAGTTATCTCGAATTTTACAGACCAATTTTATATTTTATGTTTTTGCTTAACAAAGTTATTGTTGTAGTATATAATTTTTATATATATGTAGGCTATAATTTTTCTGGGAAGGCTCCCCAGTTTCTCCATGTTGCCAACCATCTCAATAGTCCCTCCAATTTAAAAATATGGTTCCAGCCCTGTGTGGTTACTCTCGTGTTTGAGGTGTTTATAAATGACACTGGATCTATATTTCAGCTTTAACCACTGTGCTGCTCACCTTCCAAATACGGTACCCCCCTTTGCACAGGAAATAAATTCTCGGGAAAAAATTCTTTTTGTTTTTGAAAATGTTAAATTCCCTTCCCTGATCAGATATGTAAAAAAAATCAAAATTGTAATTACTTTGGCCTCAATGGGGTCTGGAAAATGGCGTGTGATGTCACGATTTGGTGGTCGCCCGTGACGTAGACTCCCGAAGCCAGTCGCCCGCCAGCTCAAACATACGCGAATTGCCACAAATATTTATTTTTCATTTTTTTCCGTACATATCCAAATATACTTGCTTTTTTTTCTTGCCAATCCTATATATAATGAACACGTACACAATATTATGGTAGTAGAACATCTGTATTGTCCCAAGACACTGTATTATATGTGTCTCAAATGTCTCAACATATATTGCTCATATATCCAATGTTAAATGTTCATTTATGTATATTTACAATATATTTACACACTATACACTACCACACACTATATACAGTCACCATCAACACACTCAGAACTCCGTGAGTGTGAGCTGCCAAACCCAGCTGTGCTGTGGTGGGTATGTGGGCCTGCGGGCCGCTCCAAGCAACAGCCTGGTGGACCAAACTCTCACAAGTCAAGCCAGGCCTCGGGCCGGGCTTGGGGAGTAGAAGAACTCCCAGAACCCCATCAAGCAGTTATCAAGCAGGTATCAAGGTACCAGCCAGCCCTCCCTCACTCCTTTAACACCTAGATTACTCCTTACACCTTACTCGCCAACATTTCTCCTCCTCCCACCATACTGTTATTGTTTTTATTACACTATTTACATACGTTATGTATACATATCTAGATGTTTTATTCACCATAACTGTGCAAGTAAGCTGGGATTGTCCAAGCAACACAGTGGCCACCATACACTGCATGAGAAGTCACACAGCAGCCAGCAGACGACACTATGATTACGACGCCACCTCCCTCACCAAAATGGCTCCTCCCACTTTACTATGCACATATGAACATGGGTATGTACATACATTGTATATACACATGTACATATGTGTTCACCATAGCGAACCACTAAGCTAGTATGGTGAGCAAAACAAGAGTGGCTGCCACACACAATGAGGCTACCTTGATTCCCTCCCTCCCTCACCAAACTTCCTCCTCCCACAATACTGAGCACAGCGCTAATTATCACCACAATTTTGCTATTATCACAATCCTGGTCACTAAATTCTGTAAATGAATAATTGATCACAGGTCTATTTTGTAAAGTAACATATGAAGTTGTTTGAAGATTCCTAGATGGACGAAATAATGCTGTGGTGCTGTGGCTAGCGCTGTGAACATCGTGAACAGCATTGATTCACTGATATTTGAACATTGTATACAGTCATTATCACACTCAGGCTCTTCTGTAATACTATCATGGCTAAATAATAGCAGTTATATATATATATATATATATATATATATATATATATATATATATATATATATATATATATATATATATATTTTATTAAATATGACCGAAAAAGTAAGATTAATAATTCTAACACGAATTTTCTCAATCTTTCGTACATTATGCTTCACTGTTGGAGGTAAATTAAAAATCACTTCTCCAAAATTCATTTTTATTTCTAGTCTGACGCGACACGGGCGCGTTTCGTAAAACTTATTACATTTTCAAAGACTTCACAAATACACAACTGATTAGAACTTGCGTTTCCCTGATTTTATATCTACATTTGAGTGAGGTGGGAAGGGTGATGTGGCATTACATTTTGAGTAAGGTGGGAAGGATGATGTGGCATTAGAGGATATTAATAGGGTATTAAAAGTATCAACACAAGACAGAACACGAAACAATGGGTATTGAATAGAAGTGTTTGTAGAAAGCCTATTGGTCCATATTTCTTGATGCTTCTATATTGGGGCGGAGTCTTGAGGTGGGTAGAATATAGTTGTGCAATAATTGGCTGTTGATTGCTGGTGTTGACTTCTTGATGTGTAGTGCCTCGCAAACGTCTAGCCGCCTGCTATCGCTGTATCTATCGATGATTTCTGTGTTGTTTACTAGGATTTCTCTGGCGATGGTTTGGTTATGGGAAGAGATTATATGTTCCTTAATGGAGCCCTGTTGTTTATGCATCGTTAAACGCCTAGAAAGAGATGTTGTTGTCTATAGTATATAGGCAAGACAACAACATCTCTTTCTAGGCGTTTAACGATGCATAAACAACAGGGCTCCATTAAGGAACATATAATCTCTTCCCATAACCAAACCATCGCCAGAGAAATCCTAGTAAACAACACAGAAATCATCGATAGATACAGCGATAGCAGGCGGCTAGACGTTTGCGAGGCACTACACATCAAGAAGTCAACACCAGCAATCAACAGCCAATTATTGCACAACTATATTCTACCCACCTCAAGACTCCGCCCCAATATAGAAGCATCAAGAAATATGGACCAATAGGCTTTCTACAAACACTTCTATTCAATACCCATTGTTTCGTGTTCTGTCTTGTGTTGATACTTTTAATACCCTATTAATATCCTCTAATGCCACATCATCCTTCCCACCTTACTCAAAATGTAATGCCACATCACCCTTCCCACCTCACTCAAATGTAGATATAAAATCAGGGAAACGCAAGTTCTAATCAGTTGTGTATTTGTGAAGTCTTTGAAAATGTAATAAGTTTTACGAAACGCGCCCGTGTCGCGTCAGACTAGAAATAAAAATGAATTTTGGAGAAGTGATTTTTAATTTACCTCCAACAGTGAAGCATAATGTACGAAAGATTGAGAAAATTCGTGTTAGAATTATTAATCTTACTTTTTCGGTCATATTTAATAAAATATGTCTACAGGAAAGACTGCTACCAAAATATACTAATATATATATATATATATATATATATATATATATATATATATATATATATATATATATATATATATTATGACATTATTAGGCAATGCTGTGGTCACAAGCTGAACAGAAGTGCTGTGAGCTCATGCTGCGTATCCCAGCCTTGGTTGCTCACTCAGTACTGAGGCCCTCACACCCGGGAATGTTGCCCAAGATTTTTTTTTTAAATGGCGTTAGTTTACAAGAGCACTGAGGAAGCCGATGTGAACCCCATGTACCCGCGGGAGTTTTGATTCATATACTAAAATTATAAGATCCTGGAGGTGCGTTGCGCACCTTCGTCGAGTGCCTGCAGGCATGTTGTGCAGTTCAGTGGTTAACCACTGCACTAGGTAATGCGCCTTGAGATGCTAGGTCACTGGTGTGAAACGCGCTGTAGGGCGCTCGTAGGTATAGTGTACAATTCAAAACTGGCGTGCTGTCACGTGGTTATTAAATGGATGCCTCAGGCCCCAGTGATCATCTGCCATTTTGAAACAAAATCCCAGCATTCCCCTGGGCCAGTGGGAGCCTTAGTTTCAAGGAAGCAATGATGTCTGACACATCGTCTACGAGCTCCAGGTCTACGGTCAGCCACGGTCTTGCAAAACGACTCTCAGAGGAGGAAATATGGGACATATTGTATGATGATGGAGCGATTGATGACAATTTAGACTACAGTCCAGAAAAAGATGTAACACAGGGGTTGAACTCGAGTGATGGGGAGCCCAAGGTGGACGATGTTGCGAGTGTGTACCGTACACGCGCCTCGCCCGGCCTCACACTCCACCCTGGGTCAACACCATTCGAGTTACCATCATCTTATGTGTCACCTGATGTGAGTTTATTTGGTGATACTACATGTGATGAGTAATTTTCGGGCTTCAGGGACATAGGCTCTGATACAAGCATTGTTGACGAACCGAGTACAGGCAACTATGGTGTTACCAGGTGGGGTTTTGCTGCCCCGACAAAATGCTAAGGCAAGCGCCAGCATGTCACACACCCTGAGGATAAAGATGACAGTATGCCCCCGACATCAACTGTTCATGGTAGGCCTATACTATGCACAACACACTCATCTCCTGGCATACCCATATGCAGCTCTAGCACAAGATGACGGAGCCATGGTGTTGGCACCCGTACTGGTGGTGCTCGTGCTGGTGTTGGCACTCGTGCTGGTGTTGGCACCCGTACTGGTGGTGCTGGTGTTGGCACTCGTGCTGGTGTTGGCACCCGTACTGGTGGGCACTCGTACTGGTGGTGGCGTGCTGGTGTTGGCACCCGTACTGGTGGTGCTCACTCGTGCTGGTGTTGGCACCCGTACTGGTGGTGCTCGTGCTGGTGTTGGCACCCGTACTGGTGGTGCTCGTGCTGGTGTTGGCACCCGTACTGGTGGTGCTCGTGCTGGTGTTGGCACCCGTACTGGTGGTGTGCTGGTGTTGGCACCCGTACTGGTGGTGCTGTGCTGGTGTGGCACCCGTACTGGTGGTGCTCGTGCTGGTGTTGGCACCCGTACTGGTGGTGCTGGTGTTGGCACTCGTGCTGGTGTTGGCACCCGTACTGGTGGTGCTCGTGCTGGTGTTGGCACCCGTACTGGTGGTGCTCGTGCTGGTGTTGGCACCCGTACTGGTGGTGCTCGTGCTGGTGTTGGCACCCGTACTGGTGGTGGTGCTCGTGCTGGTGTTGGCACCCGTACTGGTGGTGCTGGTGTTGGCACCCGTACTGGTGGTGCTGGTGTTGGCACCCGTACTGGTGGTACTCGTGCTGGTGTTGGCACCCGTACTGGTGGTGCTCGTGCTGGTGTTGGCACCCGTACTGGTGGTGCTCGTGCTGGTGTTGG